GAGTGGCAGACCGGGGTGGTGGTTCCCCTATTTAAAAAGGGGGATCAGAGGGTGTGTGCCAATTACAGAGGCATCACACTACTCAGCCTCCCCGGGAAAGTTTACTCTAAGGTACTCGAAAGGAGGGTCAGGCCGATTGTCGAACCTCAGATTGAGGAGGAACAATGCGGATTCCGTCCTGGTCGTGGAACGACGGATCAGCTTTTTACTCTCGCAAGGATCCTGGAGGGGGCCTGGGAGTACGCTTATCCGGTCTACATGTGTTTTGTAGACTTGGAGAAGGCGTATGACCGAGTTCCCAGGGAGTTACTGTGGGAGGTGCTGCGGGAGTATGGGGTGAGGGGGTCTCTACTCAGGGCCATCCAATCTCTGTACTCCCAAAGCGAGAGCTGTGTCCGGGTCCTCGGCAGTAAGTCGGACCCATTTCCGGTGAGGGTTGGCCTCCGCCAGGGCTGCGCTTTGTCACCAATCCTGTTTGTAATATACATGGATCGGATTTCGAGGCGTAGTCATGGGGGAGGGGGTCTGCAGTTCGGTGGACTAAGGATTGCACCACTGCTTTTTGCAGATGATGTGGTTCTAATGGCTTCATCGGTCTGCGACCTTCAGCACTCACTGGATCGGTTCGCAACCGAGTGTGAAGCGGCTGGGATGAGGATCAGCACCTCCAAATCTGAGGCCATGGTTCTCAGCAGGAAACCGATGGACTGTCCACTCCAGGTAGGGAATGAGTCCTTACCCCAAGTGAAGGAGTTCAAGTATCTCGGGGTCTTGTTCTCGAGTGAGGGAACAATGGAGCGTGAGATGGGCCGGAGAATCGGAGCAGCGGGAGCGGTACTGCAGTCGCTTTACCGCACCGTTGTGACGAAAAGGGAGCTGAGCCAGAAGGCAAAGCTCTCGGTCTTCCGGGCCATTTTCGTTCCTACCCTCACCTATGGTCATGAAGGATGGGTCATGACCGAAAGAACGAGATCGCGGATACAAGCGGCCGAGATGGGTTTTCTCCGCAGGGTGGCTGGTGTCTCCCTTAGGGATAAGGTGAGAAGTTCGGTCATCAGGGAGGGACTCGGAGTTGAGCCGCTCCTCCTTCGCGTCGAAAGGAGCCAGTTGAGGTGGTTCGGGCACCTAGTTAGGATGCCACCTGGGCGCCTCCCTAGGGAGGTGTTCCAGGCACGTCCAGCTGGGAAGAGACCAAGGGGTAGACCTAGGACCAGGTGGAGGGATTATATCTCTTCGCTGGCCTGGGAGCGCCTTGGGATCCCCCAGTCAGAGCTGGTTGATGTCGCCAGGGAAAAGAAAGTTTGGGGCTCTCTGCTGGAACTGCTACCCCCGCGACCCGACCACGGATAAGCGGGAGAAGATGGATGGATGGATTAATATAGATAGAGAATAATAGCGGACCTAAAACTGAACCTTGTGGTACACCATTAGTGATGTTTAACCACTCAGAAGACAGCCCATCAAACTGAACACATTGGGACCTTTCAGAGAGGTAGTTTACAAACCACCCCACTGCATGGCTGGACATGCCTATACTGGCTAGCCTCTGCTTTAAAATGTGATGATCGACGGTGTCAAACGCTTTTGAAAGGTCAATAAATAGAGCTGCACAACTCTGCTTATTATCTAAAATACTCGCCACATCATTCACCACTTTCATTGTGGCAGTGATGGTGCTATGTTGTTTTCTGAAGCCTGACTCACTAAGCGTTCAAGAACCTTAGCCAGAACTGACAACTTAGAGATTGGCCTATAGTTATTTAATAAGGTGGCCTCCTCTCCTTTTAGCAAAGGCAGGACATACGCTGACTTCCACAATTTTGGAATTGTGTTCGTGCTGAGGGAGAGGTTAAAAAGAGTAGTGAGAGGTGGAGCAATAAAATCTGCAGCTATCTTTAAAAAGAAAGGTTCTACGTTGTCCGGGCCGGCCGGTTTCTTAGGATCTAACTTGGTTAAAGCTTCACGAACAACATCAACAGTAAAAGGGGTCAAACTAAAAGGGTTTTCCAACACACGTTTTTCAGAGTCACATACTGTAGTGTTCACAGAAGCAGAGTTAGTGACAGAATCAAATAGAGAACCACAGGACACAAAATGCTCATTAAAGCAATTTAGCATAGTAGCCCTGTCTGATATAGAGCCAGATGTTGTGGTAATGCATGGAGGTAGCTCATAACGGATATCACCGGTGGATAACGATTTAATGGCTTTCCAAAATGTTCCAGGATTATTCAGATTCTTTGTGGTTACTGACAGATAGTACTTTGATTTAGCACTTTTGATATGTGAAGTGAAGCTATTTCTTAGCTGCCTAAAATGCAGCCATTCTACCTCTGAGCCTGATCTCCTAGCCTTTGCCCAGGCCTTGTTTCTCTCATGAAGGAGACTAGACAGCTCAGCAGAAAACCAAGGATTGTCTCGACCCTTTACTCTAAATTTACGCAGGGGTGCATGTCTATCAATGATCTCCATAAACCAAGATAAAAATAAGACCATGCGGTTTCTACATCAGCACACAGATCGATTTTACCCCAATCAAAATCAAACAGATCATGCACAAAACCCTGCTCCACAAAATGTTTTGTGTCTCTCTTAATGATAATGCGAGGTTTAACCTTTTGGACCTTAGTGTCCCTAATTGTGGCTACAACACAGTGATCACTCAGATCATTTGCAAATACTCCCACAGATGAATATTTATGGAGAACATTAGTTAAAATGAGATCAATTAGGGAGGATTTATTAGGGGACTTAATGTTAGGGCGAGTAGGACTGTCCACAATCTGAGTAACATTTAAAGAGATACAAAGGTTTTTTAAATCCTCTGACACTGCAGTTAACCAGTCCCAGTTAAAATCTCCAAGGAGCACTAATTCCTTGTAGTCTAGGAAACTGAGCCTGAGAAAATGGACAAGACAGTGCCATGTCACGATAATTCAATGAAACTTCCCTTTTTAAAGACAGCCACTTCCTGACATATCCCCATACAAATTAATCCACCCAAATTGATCCTGTTTGTGCATTTGTGATTTTAGGCTTGAGACTAACACGTTTTGTTATACCCTAGCCTAGGGATTAATAAAGTATGCCTTCTTCATTCTCTTCTGGACTGCAGACAGCTTGAGTTAAATGAGCCTGAATGCCACAAATGTAAATAACAACTCTTATTTCAAGCACAAAGGATTTGTCATTTACATTCAGGAATAGTATATTATCTGGCAGGGCTCCAACCACTTGCACTGCATAACCTCTTGCCACCTTGATTGCAATATTCAGCCATTGTAGTTGCTGCACATTGAGTAAATATGTCTTAAAATGCCAATTAATGTCAATAAATCTGATGAGTAGAGTATTTTAACTGATATAAATGTTGGCCTACACTTTAGAAATAGGATACAGGCAGATCCCCTATGTGCATGCTTCATGTCTTGTCAGGGACTGAACCAATGAGTGTTCTGCCTCCCAAGTCATTGTCTGTATTTACCCAAACGAAATGGTCACTATTTCAGGAAGTCCATTCTTCTGACAGCTGCTCTTATATTTGCACCATTGTTGACATTAATGGGCTAAAAGGTTGGCGGACCAGCTGAGAATTGTCCCTTTACTGTTAGAAGTAAAATGAAAAACCCATTATGATTGATATGTTTCAATATACAATGAGAAAAGAGTCACACGATAAACAAAGCTTTTGAACGTGTTATTATTTTATATAATAAACAACAGAAGTCCAACAGATAGGTGCATTCCTTTTCAGTGATGATGTAGGCTTTTACGCAGGAATGGGGTTATAAGACACACAAGAACTGCAAAAATATAAATATGTCACCATATACAGCTCTGAATAAAATTAAGAGACAACTCCACATTTTTCTTAAATCTCAATATCTACATGTATGGCAGCTATTCCATTACAGTGTCTGGTGAATTCCAACACCTAGTAAAACCAGAGAAACTGATCATTTTGGTGGTCTCTTAATTTTGTCCAGAGCTGTTTGTGTTCCAATCATTGTGAACTGGAGACTTCTGGCAATTATTGAAACGCATACCTGGAAAGGCCACTTACAGATTTACATTAGCCCATGTTCACATCATTTCATATTTATCAAGGTCAGAACTACTAAGTAGTACAAAGAGACTACACATATTAGGACAGAGCTCATGAGGGAGTAACGTCACAGGAATGAAGACAGTGGATTGTTGTGGCGCGCTACACAGGATGTTGCGACACAGCATTGTGTCTTTCTGTCAGTGAGAACAAGGGTGAGACAAATATATCTGAAGATTACAACTAAAGGTCATATCATTATTAAGGATGTTTTCACATTCTGTATTACCTATCTGTTTGTGAACTCCACATCAGCTATTACTTGAAAACTGCTTCAAGAAAATAAAACTTGAATACTGAACATTTTCTTCTTTTAATCAATTTGTGTTTGAACATTGATTTACTGTGACTCACATACTTTTCTAGCATTAAAATGTGATATTGTACACTATCAGTAATTCACCATCATAAACAATGTAATGTGTGAGTCAATGCTCTCAATCTGGTATACATGAATTAAGAGCAAACTTTGTGACAAATCACCAATCAAGTAACCAGTGTACCTTTACCATTATGAAATCCTGCATGTTGCAAAGGTCTATCAGACATTTCAAATATATATACACATGTAAATACAGTATATATTTATAGAGCTCTGGAAAAAAGGAAGAGGCCACTACATTATCAGTTTCTCTAGCTTTACTATTTATAGGTATGTGTTTTGAGTATCATTTGTTTCTATAAACTACTGACCACATTTCTCTGTGTTGGAATCCAACAGACACTGGAATGGAATGGATGCCATACGTGTGGAGATTGAGATTTAAGAAACATTTGGAGTGGTCTCTTCATTTCTTCCAGAGCTGTATATTAATAAATACAAATCAATATAAAAGAAAGCTTTTTCTTTACTATTAATCAGTTCATACAATAAAAAACGAATTTACTTCTTGCAGAGGTTCATTGTTTTACTCCTTTTATCGGTTTTTCACACAGATACAGTATCATTTTTACTTAAGGTGATCTGGTTAAAAAATAAATAAAACTGCCCAATAACATTGATCAAGTCTCTTTCCTTTTACCCACTTCAGTAAAACACAGTTGGGCAGTCGCTTACCCTTAAGGCCGGTTAATAATTTGATGTCACATATTTTGGATTTGGTCACCCCTTGAGTTATGTCTCTTTGTAGTTTCTGTCTCTGTGTTTCCCGCCTGTTTGATGATCAGAACCGTTACACCTACTGCTTTCCTGTCTTGCCTGCCCTCCCCAGCTGTGTCTCGTGATTAGTTCTTCATGTATTTTGTATAGTTGTGTTTTTTTGTCAGTGTTTATCGGGTCCTTGTTTATTCAGAGCTCTGTTCTGTTCGGCCCTGGCCTGCTGTGCATGGATTATCTGCTAATAAAAGTATTTTCTGCTGAACGATGATGTGTCCTGCATTTAGGTCCACTTGCTCCGGGGCAGCATGTGAAAGGATAGCATCTGATCATCAAACAGGCAATCACTGCACATGCTGCTGTTTCAGTCCACAGTTAAGATCAGTTGGTGGCATATGCACCGCTAGCTTGTTTGCAAAGAAGAGGAGAAAGATAACATACTAAACGATTGTTTTGAAGAGAGGTTCTTTGTGAACATTCACTGTTACCAACAGCGTGAGTGTATTTTGTCTTTAAAGGAATATAAAGACAACAAGAATGAAAGATGTTTAACTCCTGGCAAACAATGTAACACAGAGTGTGATACCTAAATGTGCATGCTTGAAATGGCAGACCGATGGGTACATCTATGTAAAAGGGTACTTCATTTGTAGTATAAATGGAACTGCATTAAATCTGCTAGACTGCAGCAGTCCTCAAAAGCACTACACAGAAATGACATACAAGCATTTTAAGTATACAGCAGGTCAATATGACCGAAACAACATCATATTATATATTAGATCAACTTATATCTCAAGATGCATCACAATCTTTTCTTTCTCTACAAGCACACTTAAATAGAAACACAACAGCAAAGTCACTGCAGAGCCGTTTATAATGTGAACGCAGCTTAAAGCAGCCAGAGGTTGGTCGACACTTCACCACTGTGTGGAAACCTACCTTTAGTCTTCACACTTGGTTTATCTTTAAAGTGATCATCTGATGTTTGTGTTACATCATTACACCTTGACCACAATTGGCTCTATGTACCAGGTGTATTTGCTCATGTTCTTCACCCTTCTGACATCATCTACATTCATTTCCTGACTCTGTATCTTATGCATGTTCATTTCCTGAAGCTGATTATTTTACTGTAAGACAAACAACTTTATTTCTTATACATAAGGACACTTCTGTGTAATTATTGACAGAACGCTCTGATGACTTCAGTCATGTGTTTCACCACAAGTCTATTCTCAGGAAAGCGGCTGGGGTTATCTAAAACTCAAATTAACCCAAGTGCACATCCTGTCAATCAATCTTTGTCTGAGCTGTGACAAGACCTGCTCTGTTCCGTTGGTTGCCTTCAGGCACACTCAGACGGAAATACACCACAGGCCTCAGAAACTTTGTGTATCTTTTCCACGTCCATGTCCACTGTCCCACTCATTTAGGTGGTTCTGTGACTGCACAGCAAGGCTCCCCCCCGGTCACTGACGCATGGGTCTTCCCCCAGATCATCGAGGACTTTTGCGGGTTTGCGCAACTTCCTCCAAATGATCCTCACAATGGAGGGGATGATGAAGACCCAGGGATTGATGATGGAGTGGAAGGACAGGAGACGGAGGGCACGGAGGTTAGCATGGCTTGTTTCAGTGTGGCTGCTGGTGAAGTTTATGTACACTCTAAGCTGGGAAATAGAAATAAAAAGAATACATGTTATCATGAAAACTGAAAATAATCAGCTCAGATACTATGTGTAGAGATTAACAGTGTCCCAGGCCCATGTATGGTATGGTTTATAACACCTTTATTGCATTATCCTTAAATACTAAAATCATTATTGGGAGAAGTTTCTCCTACCACTAATGGAGAAAACTAGAGAAATGGTGGTAGGGATTAAGTCTTATAATCAAGTTTATCTACGTATACAATATTAAAACAAATAATTAGAGGACATTTTTTTTCTCTATGTTAATGTTTTTTCATCTGAAGTTGACAGTTAAAAAAAGACCTTGTAATGTTAGACATAGAAGAGTGAATCTGTTTTATGTGTTGAATGAATCGTTGTTTAAAAGACATTTAGGGGTTGTTTATGTGTTGGTATTTTTACTCAAATAAATAAACATACAAATTGAGAGTTTTGCGACAACTTAAGAGCCCCTATTCTGCTTTTTGTGGTTGTCCCTCTCCTGTAGTGTGTTTGTGTTCTATAGGTTTTCGTGTATGTAAACGGTCTGCAAAGGCTGACATCCCTGTGTTCCCTCCAGAGGGAGTTTCTCTCCCACACACTCCCCCTTGCCTGAAATGCCTCCATTGGACTCCTTCATTTACTTCTATAACATAATGACATCACTATGTAACACTGGGTAGCATTCCAACACATTGTACGCTAAGGGGTGGGACATCTCCATGCAGTTGACCAATCACAACAGAGCCGACCAGCTAACCAATCAGAGCAGGCTGGGCTCTGGTTTCAGACAGAGGGTGAAAAGAGGTGCTGCAGCACAGGCAATATGAGAAAAATAAAGAGCTTTTTGAACATTAAAGCAAGGAGACATGTCACAGTAGAGACACCAAATGAACCTGAAGTTGAGTAGAATAGAATAGGGCCCCTTTAACAGTGTAGAGATAGCTCTTACCACCAAAGGGAAGGTGCAGCAGATGAAGACCACAGTGATAATAGCCAGCGGCAATAGATGCTCCACTTCCTCTGACATGGAGAGAGACCTGCGGTACCGGGAGCGCGCGTACTCTCCACTCCGGCGCGCTTTGCGCTTCCTTTGCATCATCACCAAGTGGAATATGACAGATATGTTGCACACCACCGTGCTGGTGATCACGATGAGGATGAAAGACGCATACAACCCGATGTAAACTTGATCCTTTCCTTTATTCGTGTGGCTCATCTCCAGGAAGCACCATGTCCCCGGGCAGTACTGTACGTAATCTCCAAAACCCAGAAAAGGAGCGACGCAGAACAGGATGCTGCCCAGGTAGATGAGAGCCACAGTGATGTAACCGTGGAGTTTGCTCAGGTGCCTCTCGTAAAAATAAGGGTGACCAATGGAGAGGTAGCGCTCCAGTGCTATTACGCTCACAATGGAGAGCGTGGAGAGGCTCAGGAAAGTCATGCTGAAGCCAAAGTAGGCGCACAGCTCTTTGCCGGCATTCATCCCCACCAGAGTCTTCCCCCGGGCATAGGCTGTGAGAACAACAGGGCTGACAGAGAAGGAGCCCAGCAGGTCGGTCATGAGGAGCGCCGTCACCAGGATGTGATACAGGGACGGGCTGGTCTTCCTGCGCCGGACCTCCAGCAGCACCAGCGCCACGATGTTACCCACGACACCGGCAGCGAACATCAGCGCAGAGGTGATGGGCTCCCCGAACTCCACGTCCACCATCTCGTGGCATTTGGAATGATTTGAAAAAGAATTTTCCATAGATTTTCAAAGAACCACACATCAGTGTCAGTGAATTGAAGAGCGCACAACCACAGAGCTCCGCTTTGCGCACCGCCCTCATCTGATCTGTGCTGCTTCTATGGAAATAGAAGTGTGTCACACACACTTCCGTATGGTAAGAACTCATGATTCACCCAGTCTCACTCCTCTTCTTAACTCTCTTTCAGGGCCATGGCCTGAAGGGGAGACTAATGTAAATGTGTGTCTTTTACATTATCATTTGGATTTTAAATGTTGTTGTTTTATTATCTTTTTATATACACACACAAATGTGCCCATTATTCTTGGGGTGTCTTGGGAGTTTTTCCTTGTGTCTGGTCTAGTACAGTGGCCTACAGGTGCCAACGCCCTGCAACGTGTTTGCTGTGTTTTGTATTCACTGCACTTTGTATTTGTAGCATTATGTATTTTGATACATTTGCATGCATTTGCAGTGTCTTTTTTATTTGCAGCTTTTTGTATTTGCAGCGTAACTGTTATGATCGTTGGAAAATAAAGTACAACCCTACAGTATGTCGTCTTATTCATTATAATTTGTATATTGTATATGATTTTATTTACAAAAGTAACATCAACAAACAAACCTAGGCACAACCGCTTTAAATAAAAGGAAAATATAACATCCACAAAAGTACTAGACTATTCAGGAATACAATGAGTGTTTGTGTCTTTAAACAAATCACTAAGAATACAAAAAACGTTATCACACAGCAGGTACCTAAACTAAGCATTAGGCGCTTTCACACCACAGTACTTTTCCCACCAAGGTTCATGAGAACTCTTTAGTTCTCATGAACTAAGTACGGATCGCGTTCACACCGGAATAAATCCCGGGGGAAGGATTAGGCAAATTAAGCCGCTGACGTCACTTCTTCTTCTTCTGCTTTGGGTTTACTGGCAGGCCGCAAACCACTTCACGGCGTATACTGCCGCCCAAAGTCCCCGGAGTTGGGGACTGGCTTCAGTAGAAGCTGCTGGGAGTCCCAGCAGCTTCTACTGAAGCCTTCCGAGTAAATCGCCAGAATGCCGACACCTCCTTATCTCCACCGCTCCCATGTTTTATTTTGTGTTGCCATAAATTAGTCTCTCTGCGTTTCTGCGCTGGGCTAATGTTAATGCTAATAATGCTAATGCGAGGATAATAAAATGGCGGCTTCACAAAACTTTTTGGGAGTTTTACGGGCCGTGGTTTGCAATCCGCCCAGCCAACCAGACATAGGAACCTTTTTCTCCCACGAAAGACCCTGCTCTCTAGCAGGGACTGAAAAGGGGGTAAAAAGGTTCTGATGAACTCATTTTAGTTCCGGCTCTTTTTGGTGTGAACGCAACATTTCGGAACTATATCGGAACTGGGAAAAGTACTGCGGTGTGAAAGCGCCTAATGGGAGAGCTAACTGTATACTAATTGGACCCTGGGTACTCTTAAAATAAAACAAATAAAAGAAAACTATTTAGTTTAAAGCCTCTTACTCTGTATCCCTGCGGCGAGTTCCCCAAACCATCTGGAGAAACCTATGTTGGTAGCTGTCCAGTCCATGAGCATGTTTGTCTTTGTTACTAATAACAAATCAAACATAAAATATGTGGCAGTATAAGAGAAGCTTTGGAACAACCAAACAAGAGGTTCAATCTGTAAATAATACATTTATCAATACAAAGTAACACATTCAAGCCAAAAATATGATAGATTAGGACACATTTTCTCCATGTTCCCTGTGTTGCTCCTTTTATGGGTTTTAGTATAATGTGCAGTGATGATCAGGGACAGTCTGTCTTAAAATGGACATTATTTGAGTGAACAGAGCAAGTTTGATGCCCCTATGATAAAAATAAATCTATCTATGTCAGTCTACAAGAGGCACTTTATAAATCTCCATTTTACGGTATGTCTGTTACCACAATTTCAACAAATGAAGAGTCTCCTTATGTTAAAGCGGTACTTTCCCCAAAAAAACATTATTTAAATGTGAATAACAACGACGCAAGTGACACACATGGGGTCCTTCTCACTTCGGTTAAATGGATTCCTTGCGTCCCTCACTTGCGTCGTTTCCCTGCGACTAGTCCCTCCTACCAGGGAAGCATGGAGGGACGCAAGGAAACCACGAGAAGCAGGGAAATGAGCTTTAAGAGCAATGGGACGTCCTTTCCTCCGGGGCGTCACGTGAAGCGACGTCCGTTTGTGATGACGCCGCACAGCTGATCGTCTGACAGCAGCTCTGTCCCCGTTGTGTTCACAAACACCCCCGCCTCTGTTAGTACACATTTACTGACACAAACATTTGTATCATCTGTTGTAGAGTGCACAATAGAAATAAAATAATTGAGAGAAGAAAAAGAGATATGTTATCTATCAAAACCCAGTGAGATTAACATTCATTGGCACTTTGTGTTTGTGTGGATATGAAGCACATTAACATTTTAATAGCACTTAATGCCTGACTGAATGGAAATGACAATAAATGAAAATGTAAAACGAAAAAAGAATAAAATGATTTTTGACCACTTTGTTGTTCAGATATATCACATATTTGTAACTAAATGATACATGAATTGAAACAAAACACGGTATAAACTGAGGAGTGACTCCCGTGAGGTTCATGTATTTTCTTCACTCCGCTGGGAAACTGCTCTCATGTCAAGAAGCATCAGATCAGTGCATGCGCTGCATCGTCCAATCAGTGAGCGATACACAGTAAGGGGGCGGGGCGAGTGTCTGAGGATTTCATCGAAGGATGGTCTGGTGGTTCCTCGGTTATAGCTCCTCCGTTATCGCTCCTCGCTCCTCGCTCCTCGTTCCTCGCTCCTCTGGCAGAAATAAGGCCATTGGGACGCAACTCAAGATGGCGCAGACAAATCAACTTCCGGTGATACCGAGACCGAGGAGCGAGGAAATGAAAAATAAGAGAAGTGAGAAGGGCCCATGGCATTTGTTTTCAGAAGATATTATGATAGTGACGTTCGTTCCGGTGCACGTCCGACATCATAGGCTACTAGGCCTACATCGAGATTAAGATTAACTACTAACTAATTTATTTTGGGAACACCAGCATATGGGCTATCAATGGAGTTAGCCAAATGTGTGTAAATTACTGTTCATGGTCATTTGAAAACAAATGCCGGTGTCGGACAGACACAAACACACCGAACACACTGAGCTGAGCAGAGCACATACACACACACACATCATGCGCCTTGGTGACCGGAAATCTCCTTCAAAAAACTAATAAAAGGGGGAGTAATCGTGCAGTTCGATGTGTGTAGAGATGTGTGTGGTGTGTGTGGTTAACACGTAGCAGCCTGCAGTCACTCTAACACCCTAATCCCACCAGGAGCGTCTGCGCTGCGTTGCACTGCGTTGCGCTGCGGCTGCGGCGTTTTTAGCGATCGCGGCCACTCTAGTCAATGGGTGCTATTCCACCAGACACGCTGCGCCGCGCTGCGGCTCGAAGCGTCCCAGAAGCTCCTCGCCGCAAGGAATTTCTAAAATATAGGATGAATCCTATTTTTGACGCGGCGCGGCGCAGGCAGGAAGTGGAATGTTCATCCAACAACTGCGAGGCTGCACACAAGACGCTCCGCTTCCGCAACGTTTTGAAACGTGCCTGGTGGGTTAGGACGCAGGAGGAGGTCGCAGCGCGGCGCAGCCGCAGCGCAGACGCTCCTGGTGCGATTAGGGGGTTACCCCCTAATCCCTCCAGGAGCGTCTGCGCTGCGTTGCGCTGCGGCTGCAGCGTTTTTAGCGATCGCGGCCACTCTAGTCAATGGGTGCTATTCCACCAGACACGCTGCGCCGCGGCTCGAAGCGTCCCAGAAGCTCCTCGCCGCAAGGAATTTCTAAAATATAGGATGAATCCTATTTTTGACGCGGCGCAGCGCGGCGCAGGCAGGAAGTGGAATGTTCATCCAACAACTGCAAGGCTGCACACAAGACGCTCCGCTTCCGCAACGTTTTGAAACGCGCCTGGTGGGTTAGGACGCAGGAGGAGGTCGCAGCGCGTCGCAGCGCGGCGCAGCGCGTCGCAGCGCGGCGCAGCGCGTCGCAGCGCGGCGCAGCGCGTCGCAGCGCGGCGCAGCGCGTCGCAGCGCGGCGCAGCGCAGCACAGCCGTAGCGCAGACGCTCCTGGTGCGATTAGGGGGTTAAGCTGTTCTGATGAAGGTAAACACAGCGAAGGCGGTGCGTAAAAAGGCACAGCTCTCGGCGCGCTGGTGCTGCACTTCTCAGAGGCGGAGTTACACGTCCCGCTGCCTCCTGATGCTGCAGCCATTTCATGAAGTGAAGTGAAATTCCTTATATAAAACAGCTGTGAGAGTCCCGGACAGGAATTCATAGATCAAGGCAGACTGGTTTACTCTCCTGTTTTGCCAATCCGGTGCTTAAACAAATAGCTCCACACCCCTGGCCGACATGTCCTTAAAATGAAGTCCGAGTTTGAAATATAGCTCAAATAATGTATGCACAGCCATTTCCCCACATAAACATAACAGTCTACAATTAAACGGTTGTCTCCTGTGCGCTCCTCTTCCTACTTGGCGCACCGGTAACTTTCTCGTGCGAACGAGAGGCTGAGACCTTATAGGCTGAGCCGCCGAATCCCTCGGAACATCATTAAAGCCATTTTCAAAGGTTTTCTGGTGAAAGATTAACGAGGCTACTGGATGAAATAATATGACTGGTATAGGTGCGAAAATGAAACACTTTGAAAAAAAAATATTATGATAAAATATTTGTATATATTTATAATTCTGCAAATATTACGATACACTCATAGCTATTTCACGGCCCGGCAGTAACACCTCCACGGCCCGGTAGCGGTCCGCGGACCGGGGGTTGGGAACCCCTTCTCTAGATGATAGGAAAGGAGGTTTCAAACTTCCTTAATAACCTCCTTTAGCTTAGGAACCACTGGACCTCCCTTGACGAAAGGAGAGGAGAAAATGCTGCCCCACAATGCCTTGCGGCCGCAGCATTTACCGTCACACAACAGTCGGCCGTTCACGGAAACAACCGATTATGACCGATAAATGATATCATGAAAGT